TGGGGTTCCTGGGTCTAGACGAGTGAAAATGTAAAATGGTGCCAGGAAGTCTGTCCTCCTTCCCTTGCTGAAAGAAAGCAAAGGGACAAGGGTGTCTCATCCCTCTGCTGAGAAAACAGTAGTTTGTTCAGGACCAATTCTGTGGTCTCTCTGTCCTGCAGGGGAAAGGTTGCCTTTATAATATATGATAAATATCACCAATTAGTTGTTTCCTATGTTACAGGTATTTGAATTCACTATTTTATTTAGTCCTCATGACCACTTTACGGTATCCTATTATTATTCTCATTTCACAGATAAGGAAACCAAGGCCAGAGAAACTGAGTTGTCCAAAATCACTTGAGCTAGTAAGTGGCAAAACCAAGATTCAAATTTTGTCTGACAGAATCCAGGAACTGTTCTCTTCAACACAGTTGAAGAATGTCTATGCTTACATCCAGTCTAACTCTGTGATCTTGGGGACATTATTTAACTTCAGTGAATCTCAGTTTTTATATCTGTAATATGGAGGAAACATTCTTTGACTCTTCAAGATGTTGGGAGAATCATATGGGAAAACATACGTACAACACCACTAGCACAATGGTTGACCCAGGGAAGGTGCCTGACAAATATTTTCCTTCACTTCCACTTCCTCTTCTGTACCAAAATGGCTGGAACCCCAGCCCAGAGATTTGCTACATGTAATGCAGTGAAGATGTGCTCTCCTGTCTGTATACGGTGTCATCCACCTGGAGCTCTCCTTCTTGTTTATTCCATCTGCAAGTTGTATATTGTGACCCATTAGTGAGTTATTAAATCAAGTTAATGAGTTGTGCCCTTCATTTTTTTTTAAAGGGGGACAAATAGAATGGAAAATAACAAAATACACTTTACTTAAAAAGCACAATTTAATAAAAAATGTTTTTCAGCTTTATATGTGTATGTATTTACTGGGTCACAGTGAAGAATGTTTTTATTACTTTGAGTAAAAAGACTTGAAAACTTGCAAGTTAACTCACATAAGATCTTTAAGGACCAATTTGGATATCTTTGCATTAGGAAGCAATAAAGGTTCCAGGCCTTTCTAGAGCTAATTTTTCACACCACGCTGCACTGTGATTGTCTTCCTCTCATCTGTTTCTTCCACTGGATGAGAGATTCTTATGGCAGGAAATGTTGACTTTTACGGCTGAGTCCTTAGTGTCCATTATGGGTCTTGGCACAAAATATACACTCAAAAACAGCTTGAATGCACAAATGAATCAAAGCAAATGACTTTTAAGCCCAAATTCAAGACAGAGAGGTTATTCACTTGAACTCTCAAAATGAATACCTTTGATTAACAAATGAACATGGGTCAGGCTTCACTCTTTCCTGTGACCTTTTACTCCCCATTGGTGGACTTAGCTGCTTTTTATCCCCTCTTCTCCCCATTCTCCAAGTCCTGGGTGCTCTTGCTCTCCTTTACCTTAGGAAAGGTGCTTTCCTTAGCTATTTGCACTTCTATGTGATTTCAATCACCAATGTCTCTGACCTTTCTTAGTAGCATTTGGATATAAAGGTCCATTCCTATTAGTAGCAGGAAAAGCCTTGTTCTTTGTCACAGGGATGCGTTCACCAGCTAGTAGGTAAGAAAGAGCGCATATATTAGAGGCAGGGAGAGCTCCATCTGCCCACATAGAGAGCCTCGAAACACGTGCAACAAAATCCGTATTCCAGTGGCTCGGGAGCCCAAGTGCATCTACGTCTGAAGAATTCATAATGTACTTATGGAGCATTTTTGAAAAATATTTTATTCAAATTTTTTACATTTTATTTACTTTCCAGGTTCTACAGCTCTATGTTTCACAATGCAGGAAATACACAATACAAACAGCCCAGTAAAGCAAATATATCCAAATCATTCCCACAGAACAGGTACAGCGTTATCATAAGCAGCAATCAACTTCATTTGTATAGCACTACCGAAGCACTTTGGGCACCTTACACAAAAGATTCAAAGAAGGAAAATAATTACAAGTAGATTGGAAAATAGAGAGGGTTGGTTGGCTCAAGGTTAAAACACTGCCTGGCTCAGATGTGCTAATCCCCCTCCCTCCTTTCAACACTTTCAGGCAAACAAATTGCTATCACCTGGGAGGATGATTTCTAGTGAGGGAATGAGGCCAGCTCATGCACCATCCTGAGAGGACACAGCCTCTCAGACACAGCCAGGGCTCTATGCGTGGGATAGGGTGGGGGAAGGAGAGGCAACTCCTAGAGGAAGGGGTGGTTTTGTGGTGCAGACAAATACCCTATAAGTCAGCTAAATTGTTTATCACAGAACAAAGAGACGCTGTTAGCTTTCTGCTTTAGGTTTTCGCTTCATGGAAAAATACCAATAAAACTACAGAAATCCCCTATGTCCTACCTAGTACAGTTTATCCTGTGTAAAAACCCCAAAGGGGTTTATGGTTGAGTTTCTCCTCTCGGCTAACCTATTCCTTCATCTAAGAGGTGGGGGCTGTGAGCAGATTGGGAATCACAGCTCAAGTGCACTCCACAGCTGATACCACAGAAGCTGAGCCTTTGAGAGGCGGAGTGAGAAGGGAGGTAGAAGATCTGATTCTGTCACCAAAGAGTGGTGGCAGATCTCTCCCCTCCTGGGGCCTCAGTTTCCTGTCCTGTCAATTAAACAGTGACCTGGTGCTGCCTAAGATTCCTTCTGGCGCTAGACTTATATAAGCCAAGCAGAATAATATTCCAGGATGCCATTCTCAGATTAAAGAAACATGTTCATCATCTGATATTTATATAATCAGAGAAATCCTGCTACTAATTTATTTTGAGAGAGCAACTTAGTTGACTTTCTAAAAAAAGTACAACCAACTGGCACCAGCCCTATTCAAGTGTTCCAGATAAAGCAAGCATCTCTATGAAAATCCTCTAGCCCAATTTGGTGTAACCCACCCCCCTCTATAAAAAATAAAGAGGGGGGACAAAGGTACAAAGTTGCTGGATCATTTTTAGTAAGAATTTCCCATAGGCCTTGTTAGTTCATTCCATTTGATTGCCTTTTTGTTGCTGTTGTTGGGGTAGGGGCTATTAGTTTTATCACATCGTAGGAGAACAAGGCCGGGGGGGAGGGTGTCTTGTACGTTCTTTCCCTCTGATTTTACTCTATGCATGGACCCTACTTCTTCCAATTTTATGCCTCTAGGGTCCTTTAGATGCTAAGGTCAGCCCTCTAGGGACTAACTGTTAATAATTATACATTTGGAAACCAAATACCATATTTGTATAGTGGAGAGATCATTTGGAGAATTGCCCATAAAGTGTCAGCTATTTTTCAGTGTCATTTAAAAGAGGTTCCTCCTTTCAATTCCATTTCCAACTATTAGAATGTGATACAAGATAACATCCTTTATTACCTTAAGTCTTGATCTTTTTGTATGTCATTATTTTTATTTATCATTTTAGAGAATAAAGGTTTGGGTCTGATTAATATGACTCTTTCAAATAAGTCTATTAGCTTTACATTCTATCACAATATTACCCCATTTAATTTTCCTAATCTTCCACAACTTAATTCAAAAGACTCAACTATTACCAGTATATTTTCAGCAAAGTTTTTCTAAGTACATTAACATTTTTATGCATTCTATTTTTTTAATAGATAACAATATGGTAATTTTTCCTTCCAGTGTTATTCTACATATCCATTTTATTTGCATTAACAGATTTTTCTCTATTCTATAAACCCAATTGGCTTTTCCCAATTTGCTACCCAAAACTAAAACATTTCAAGATTTAAAATATTTTGTATCACAAAGACCAGCAACATAAAGCCAGTAAGGAGAAAAGAAATAGCCACTTTCCATCACATCTGTGACTTCACTACAAGACATGTTCCTGGGTGGTTCTTAATAGTTCCTGTTGCGGATTACACTGAAGTATATCAAAATAATCTTGTGAAATTCAGTTAGTCAAATTTGGAATGTTCATAGTCAAAAATAGTTTTGTTTGATTTTATCCTGTTTTTATTTTAAGTCTTGGGACTTCTGAAGTATTAGAACTCCCTGGAACATAGAGGGAGTCTCTGCTTGTCCTAGGGAGGCCAGCAAATCAAGGCCCTCAAGAACATGCCAAATCTGGAATCCTGCTCCTTTCTTTGCCCTGCTGGGCCTACCTGATAGACACAGAAGATAACTACACAGCCAAAGTGGAACCAACGGAACACATCAATTCAAGTACATAATTTAGTATCCATAACACACCCTTCATGCGAGGAAAAGACAGTGAAATTTCAGGTGAGGAGGATATGACCTTAGGTGGGAATCAGACCAGATTCGGGGGCCGAGTGAGGAGAGGAGAATGCAGTGAGGGTATGGGGCATGGTTCCTCCACTGGTCCATAGATTCATCTTCACAGTGTATTAGGTATTACTTCCCCCCTTTGGTTGTTAATATTATTTTAAAAAGTACAGTCAGCATTGATGAAGTATATTTTGGAAGGAATATAGGAGGCTGAGAAACAACTGGTCACGAGATACCAGGGAAGAAAGTCCACCGAAACTTGTTGGGAAGAAGCATGTAACTCTTTAGCAGAGTGCTTTTGATTTTCAATCAATACACCAAAGTTCATGCAATATATATCAAGCAGATCAAGAGGTGATACAAGAATATTTTCTTCCTATTTTGATGGTAAGAAAAAGTCTAAGGTTTTGGGCCATATATTCAATTTAAGATGATCAGGAATGAAAATATTTTTCATTATTTTTACTGCAACCTGTGCTAAGAATTTGACCCTAGATCATAACATTCTCAAACAGTAACTTGTTAAAATCAGGGCTTTTGACTAATGTAATAACATTTCAAAAATGTCTTCAAAGTGGTTAAACTCGATGTCTTATGGTGGTGTATTGATGAGCCTGGGTTAATAAGAACATGTGTTCCATTGCTACAAGGTGTTGCTTTTATCTCCCCAAACTGGATTGCTCACAAAGTGCAGATCACAGTAAGCAATGCTCCGTTGCCTACCTGACATAGAGGGAGCGTTTCTGATTGGTTCGCAGGGACCCGGACCCGGAGCTCATGCTGTGGTTCATCATCTGCTCGCGTAGGTCATGGATTTTGGCCTCAAATCGAGCGTAATCTGGGAAAGGAAACAAAGATGGTAGATTTGGTCCTGTGCCTTCAGAGAAGGAGAAATAGTGCCTAGCCAAGGCGGCTACTTGTCCCTGATGTTGGTTCCTTTGCCAAATATCAGGGAGATGCACAACTCAAAATAGTGAACATGGAGGGAGTTGCTTAATATTATTTATTTGCAGACATTGGCAAAAGGAAAAGGACAAATCAGTTACTTCCCCAAATGTAACTAGAAAACATACTGCCATCAAATCCCCAACATGTGAAAAGTCCACGAGGGAGGAGGTCACTGTGTGAGGTTATAAACGGGCAGCACAGGGCATTCTTGCGGTGATGAAAATGTGCTGTCTTGACTGTGGTAATGGATACTGAACATGCGAAAAAATGATCTACACCTAACTACATTCACATATACTCGCACAAATGAGTACAAGTAAAACTGGAAAAATTGGAATTAGATTGATGGATTACATCAATGTCAATATCCTGGCTGTGAGAACATGCTATAGTTTTACAAAATGTTACCATTGGGGGGAACTAAGAGTAAAAGGTACATGGATCTTCCTGTATTATTTATTGCAACTGTATATGAATCTACAATTATCACGGATCTTCCTGTATTATTTATTGCAACTGTATATGAATCTACAATTATCTCAAAATAAAAACTTTAATTTAGAAAAGAGGCCAACCACTGCCCCCCCCAAATACACGAAGATCCATGAACAAAACAAATATCCAAGGAATTAGCAATGTTATTGGGAGGGAAGATTGAGTCTACAGTTAATTTTCAGCCTGAGAGACCAGAGAACCAAGTGTTTGGTGATGAATTGTGTAAAAAAAAATTGCCTTTTAATTTGACTAAGTTTTTTTCTCTGCTAGAGGGTTGCTAGAAGCTGATCATTTGGGATCATACCTCAATTTTGCCTTATAACTTTAATATAAAAAGTCCATATGTCAAACTTCATCAATTCTAAGATGCATTATATATTTAAATGAGCTTCTGGGAGCATGGCATTGGAAATAGGGGTAAATAGATTTTAGAAACATATGGGTCTAAAAAAATCAAGAAAATATGGGTATATATCATACTATTTCTTCATAGGAAAAATATTTTTCCATATGTCAATCCAATAAAAACAAAGACAGTACAAATAGGTTTTAATATACTTATTAACACAATCAGCATGTAAAAAAGAAAAGCTTTTGAAGTTTTGATATTTCTGATCACAATTTGTTCTATCATCTCCTTGGCACAGAGTGTCCTGCTTTAGCAAAATCCAGTAGGTGAGAAGTCCAACTTACTCACAAGATAAATGTGAAAATGCTAGTTCAAATTATAAATGGTTCTTTTAATTACAAAGAAACTCACCATAGAGAATTTTTTAAAATGCTAATTCAAATTATAAATTGTTCTTTTATAGAAACTCATCATAAAGTACTTCCTCAGTACATTTCAAAAAACAATTTGATTTTCAATTTAATTTATTCATAACTTTTCATAAAAACAAGGATGACTAAATGAACGTAATAAAAGATGATCTACTTACAGTGTTTCAAATTCTTTATAAAAAAAAGTTCCACAAAATTAAATTTAAATTCAATTTACTGACTATCTGTTGGTTATTATGGGGTGGGATATCATAAAAGAGAAGATTTGACCTTGGTTTTCAGTGATAAGTAGATAACTGGATAATGACCTATGAATGCTAAATATTTTTTTAAAGTTTAGTACTCTAAAGATAAAACCATCAAAGTTGACTGGAAATTTCTGGTGCTTAAGCAAAGTCTTATGCAGTCTAGATTTGGAAGGCTTCCTCTTCAAAACTTAGCTTTTTTAAAAAAAAAATTATTAGCATGTTATATCAGTCACCATACAGTACTTCATTAGTTTTTGATGTAGTGTTCCATGATTCATTGTTTGTGTATAACACCCAGTGCTCCATGCAATACGTGTCCTCCTTAATATCAATCACCAGGCTAACCTATCCCTTCCAAAACCCTCAGTTTGATTCCCAGAGTCCACAGTCTCTCATGGTTTGTCTCTCTCTCTGATTTCCTCCCCCTTTCATTTTTCCCTTCCTTCTCCTAATGTCCTCCATGCTATTCCTTATGTTCCACAAATAAGTGAAACCATATGATAATTGACTTTCTCTGCTTGACTTATTTCACTTAGCATAATCTCCTCCAGTCCCATCCATGTTGATGTAAAAGCTGGGTGTTCATCCTTTCTGATGGCTGAGTAATATTCCATTGTATATATGGACCACATCTTCTTTATCCATTCCTCTGTTGAAGGGCATCTCGGCTCTTTCCACAGTTTGGCTATTGTGGACATTGCTGCTATGAACATTGGGGAGCAGGTGCCCCTTCTTTTCAGTACAACTGTATCTTTGGGGCAAAACTTAGCTTTAAATAATTAAATCCTAAATGATTAAATAAGCAGAACACATATTTAACCTAAAATCTATTGATCATAATTTACGAAATTTATTTCAATCCTTTTGACAGAGAAAACATTCATTTTAAACAATCAATATGACACTGAATGCAGATTTAAATCATTTTGGGCAAGTCATGTTTTCTTGCCATCCTAAGAGTCAATTAATTATTTATTGGCATCACATGGCAGACACTGTGCTTAGTGCTTCATGGGCAGTTATTTTTTCCTTAAATCACAACATGAAGTTCATGGGTGTTGTCAATATTTGGGCTATATGGAAAAACACAGAATAGAAACTGAGAGGTTAGCGCTTCTTCCTTCCCTCTCATTGCTGTCCTTTGCTCCACCTTTCTCTAGAGATACCTGTTGTGTGCTGGACTTGCACATTTATCAACTCATTTCATATATATACACACACATACCCACACACATATGAGATCATCAATATATATTATGCTAATGCCTTTTTCTCCCTTTATAACTGTGTAACTTGGATCTTTTCCTGCCTTCTCCCAAATACGTAGATATATTTCTTAATACCCTTCATGGCATCACATGGTTAAGACTGTAATTTATTTCACAGTTGCAGAGTATAGCCAAAGATAGACCCCTCCAGCTCCTTGCTGTTATAAACAGGATCTTAGGCTATGTGGAGCACATGTATGGGCAGGTTAGTTAGTGCAAATACTGGTCAGAGCTTTGCACAGATGTCATGCAGCCCCCGTTAGCACTTCTCAGAGAAGAAGATAATCTGGTCTGGGACACAAAGCAGGATCCCTTAGCGTCTTCTGATCACGCTCCACACTGCCACTGCCTAAATACCAGGCATCTCCCGGAGAACGAGTAAATCCCCCATCTGTTCTCAGGACTCCCTCCCTTACAACTTTGATGACGGCGCTACTGTGATAAAAACCAACACTCCCACCTCTCCTCCCCTACTTAAGCATCTTAATTCAGTGACAGTCCCTAACCCTGTTTGACCACTTTGCTACTTTGTTGTACTTATCACACCAAATCACAGTGATTTGTGCAGTTGCCCATCTTTCCCATTAGACTGAGCTGAGAAGAGAAACCACAACTCACTCTCCTTGGGGTTCCCTGTCCCTAACAGTGTCTGGTGTGCAGGAGGCATTTAAATAATAGGGGTTCAACATTTTCTGAATGAATCATGAATGAGGAAGTGGGCAGAATCATTAAATGCGTTCAGTTATAAAATGCCTACAGGTGCTGAAATTGCTCATTTTCAATGTTAAGGTTTCTTTCAATGAAGAAAGACAACATGCTTCTCCTGTGGGACTTCTTTTTTCAAGGCTAAATTGTCTAATTTCAAGGTTTATCACCGCCACTCCCAAATCCCATTGATATTTTTATCGTTCTCCAGGTGATCTCTGTGCTCTCCCCATCACAGGCATGTCATACATTGGAAACTCTTCTCTGATACTTAACCTGTAGCTGATCAGCACTTTGTAAGGCTCTTCTGGCTGTCACACTCTATATGTCACAACAGGCTACTTCAATAGCAAACTGTGTTCTCCTTATTGTATGGCTCATTAGATCCCCCAGATGTTTTCTGCCTTGCTTTTGAAATGTTTGCTTTACACCATCTTCTATAATGTTTACACTCCCCACTGCGGACGGGGAAGTGTTGTGTTGTATTGCATCTGTCTTAATTGGAAGACATCATGCCCTCAATTTCTCCACTTTGAGATCCATGTTAACCACAAATCCTATGTTTAAAAGTGCTTACCTATATCTCCACTCTTTTCTTTCTTTTAAATTTATTTATCCATTTTTAGAGAGAGAGAGAGCACGTAAGCTGGGGGAGGGGCAGAGGGAGAGAATCTCAAGCAGACTCCCTGCTGAGTGCAGAGCCCTACGTGGGGTTTGATCCCATAACTCATGGGATCATAGCCTGAGCCAAAACCAAGAGTCAGAAGCCCAACCAACTGAGCCACCCAGACATCCCTTTATTTTTTATTTTATTATTACTTTTTTTAAAGATTTTATTTATTTATTTGATAGAGAGAGACACAGCGAGAGAGGGAACACAAGCAGGGGGAGTGGGAGAGGGAGAAGCAGGCTTCCCGCTGAGCTGGGAGCCGGATGTGGGGCTCGATCCCAGGACCCTGGGATCATGACCTGAGCTGAAGGCAGACACCCAACGACTGAGCCACCCAGGTGCCCCAATTATTACTTTTTTAAGTAGGCTCCATGCCCAACATGGGGCTTGAACTCACGAACCCTATATTAAGAGTTGTATGCTCCACCAATCGAGCCAGCCAGGCGCCACTTTTCACTTCTTTTTAGAAAATAAAACTTAAGTACAAGTAATTTCATCAGAGTAGAAGCAATGAAATCTGGATTTACAAATATAAATGGTGTGCATGAGAGAGACAGAGACAGAGAGAGAAGAGGAGTGCTGTCTCCAGCTTCTCAGAGATGAATGAGTCTATGGTTAGAAATGTTCTAGAAATAAGTAAGAAAGCAGGTACGTAAACTGTGAGATATAAGTCTTCTTTATGTTTTATAAAAGTACTGAAAATCACACTTTTCAACAAAACAAA